TGAGATTTAGGGAGATGACTGGTGTCCAGGAACACTTAGTGTCCAGATGGAGAATTGCCAAGTTAAGAAACATGTGCTTTCTTGACTAGACAGCTCTATGCAATGGGAAAGGCGTTCTGGAGTTGACAGGGCTCTGCCCACCGCACCCACCCTAATTATCTGACCACGGCTGAGTCACTGCCTGTCTGTAAATCTCACATTTATAACTAAAATAGGGCTCTTTATCTACCTCACAGGGTTGATGTAAGCATTAAATGAGAACTGGAAAGCTCAGAGCTTGACAGTCTTTAAGCCCCACCCCCAGGTCTAGAACCTTCCAAATTACTACTATTAAATATGCCACTTCTCCCCATTCTGACAGATGGTACTAGTGGTTTATTGAGGTGTTAGCAGTGATGTATAATTCCCTGCAAATGTTGACATTGTTTTCAGCATAAGCATGGTTCTTAAATCCGTGATTGTTCCTTCTCACCTTTGCTACCACCGAACAGAACTAAGAAATATACTGGCCCGCTATTTTACAACCACAAAGGGTAATTTAATAATCTGGCCAAATTAAGTGTATAGTTTTGTAGAACTGATTTAAACAGGCAAATATCAAGACTTCGGTTATTTGCTACTATTCTGATGTACACTAAACCTATAATTGTATTTTAAAAAACAGTGCCTGCTCTTAAAAATACTTATAAAATATTGAAACCTTAGAGTGTGGTGAAGTGAGGTGACTTATGTTGCAGAGAGAATCTTTCCCCACACGTGGCTGACTGAAAGGGAAAGCAGATCACTTGGGTACATGCTTTAGAAGTGTGCCTCTTATTTGAGTGAAGATAATTTAGTTCACAGGTCAGTGAGGTGACCAGCAGCTCAAAGCACTTACCACACAAGCCCTGCCACCTGAACTTGGTCTCAAGAACCCAACTAAAGGTTAGAAGCTTTTGAATGAGGACCATGTTAAAGGTACTCAAGCTGTGGCATGCATGCCCACACACACTTCATGAATATGCAAGTTAAAATTAAAACCCTAAAGTTTTGTTTATAATGCAACTTCTAGGAGCACATTTCTTGCATAAACTCTTGTTATATCTCCTCCAGTTTCCCTCGGAGTGTTTGTAGAGGTGCTCATCTACAGTGGCACCAGAGCATTTGCTAAGAGCCTCCTCTATCCCCTGTCCTGGACCAGTTTCAGGTCAGACGTTAGCCTAGGAGGTACTGAAGGCTCACAGTCATAAGTTGTTCTTAGAACATCTGGACCATAGATCCTGCTTTGGGACTTGTTGTGTGACCTTGGGCAAGACATTTTCCTTGAGTCTTAATTTTCATGCCCAAAATATTTGTGTAGTAATTATTCCTGATTCACAGAGTGTTCTGAGAATTAAATAGTATTTTGAAAGCTATTAAATATTGCCTATTTTATTTTAGAATAAAAAGACTGAATAATAAAAAAGAATGTAATCTAGCTTGTAGAATTCTTAAATCCTGAAAAGACATGTTATTGTGCAAGACAGTCCATTTCCTCTGTTGCAAGTTAGGTTTCCAGAAAGTGTAGAATAGAGAAATTCAGTCTAGAATGCATGTATCATATAGGGTGGCATGGGGAAGATACACAGTACATTCAGGGCAACGTCAGGCTGTAAAAGGAGACCAAGAACTGAGTGAGGTAAGGCTATCCTAGCTCTCCATAGAAAATATGAAGAGTACACTTGAGAAGTGTTTTGGGGAGGGATATTGGCTGCCAGGGAGGAAGATAATTCTAAGATTCTAAACCTTAGAGAAGGCTAGGCAGATGTGGTGTGAGCCTATAGTCATGGCCTCTGAGGAAACTAAGGCAGGGACAGTAATCACTGGAAATGCATGCCAGCCTGTGCAGATAGTAAGACCCTATCCTTAAACAGGAGCACAGGACCACACACACCAGGTTGGGGAATTAAACCTTAGTGACTTGGAGAATGTCACTAACCAGAATACCAAAGTTGGAAAGCAAAGTTGACAGGGAAGATCAATTCATTTAGTTTTAGGTATATTTGAAAAAGAATCACAAAATCTGCATTTCTTCTACAAGGCATTGATATTCAAACCACATCGGGAAGGATTGAATTCAAGTAAGTTGGATAGGTTGTGAGGAGCAAAGCTGAGACCCAAATTAAGAATCACTTTTTTGGCTTCTGTGCTGCCGAGGAGGAGAAATCTTCAATTAAGTTGTTTTATTTTAACTTAATACCCTTCTCATTTTCCAAGTTTTGCTATTTTGCCCTTTAAGATTTTTTTTTTGTCCTTTTCAATACAGTCTATGTTTCACTCAGCCGTCTGCAGCAGTGAGCATGTGTGTCCCTGGGAGGCAGGTATTCCTGCTTGTCGCGGCTCTGCCACTCATCCTCTGTGCGCCACAGCACAGCTTTCCTCCTTGCCAGAAGTTAGCCGTGCTCGCCTTCTGTGCCTCCCCTGCGTTTCCTCTGCAGACAAACGATCTGGGTGAACTTTCTGTTTTTAAGTTGTTTTGTTAGAGGCAGGCTCTCACTGTGTAGCCCATGCTAATTTAGAATTTATCCTCCTGCCTTCCCAAGAACCAAGATTTCGGGCATGTGCTCCCACACTCTGTCCATCTTGATTAGTTCCACGTGGCCCTGTCCTAACTTTGTAGCAGAGTTCTGTGTTCCCAGCCGGTCCCATCCTTAACACAACCCTCAATCCCACAGTCATGCTCTTAAAAGATAAGTGTGTTTCCAGTGCTTAGACCCTTTAGTGATGCTCAGTACTCTCAGATCTCCGGCTTAAGAGGTGCGGCTTAGGATATAGACATTTCCACATTGCTTAGTTCTGTATAGGAGAAACCCACAAGTAGAGACAGTCAGTGACTTAGGGGATTGCTTGTGTACATGTGTCTAGCCAGCCTTTCCTTTGACAGAACTGTAGCATGTTCATGTGTACTATGGATATGTAGAAAGCAGTATGTACGATTTTCCATATATACCTGACTTGTGTGTTGTGTATGGGGTGGGTCTGGTGTTTTTGGAACATGTTTTATTAAGACCTACAGGGTCAAGGGGGTTAGGATGTAGTTCACTAGTTAGAGAGTGGCCTGGTGTGCTTGAAGCCAGAGCTTTGATAGTCAGCACTGTCTAAGCCAGGGGGATTGTTGCACATACGTAATCTCACTTCATGGGAGACAGAGGCAGTACGACCAGGAGTTCAATTAAGCTCATCCTGTTTACTCGTTTTGTTGAGTTCGAGGCCAGCCTGGAATACTGGAGACTCTTGTCTCAAAAGAGAAGGAGGGAAAAGAAAGGGTCTAAAGTTCATACTCCTAGGATTTTTTTTTAAGATTTTTTTTTAAATTTTATGTGTACAGGTATTTTACTCTCAGGTAAGTCTGTGTACCACATGCATGCCTGATGCCCATGGAGGTCAGCAGAGGGCACCAGATCCCTTATAATGGGAGTTACAGGTGGTTGTGAGCTGCCACGTGGGTGCCAGGAATAGGACCCAGGTCCTCTGTCAGAACAAACTGGTCTTAACCACTAAGTCAGCTTTCCAGCTCAAAGCCCCTTCGTAGGATCTTTTAAAAACTTACATATGGGTTTTGGGGATTAACCTCAGGCTACCAGACTTGATGGTGAGCACTCTATTTGCTGAGTGGTCTCTGTGAGCCACAACCCTAGGATCTTTTGATTTAGCCTTAGCTTCTTTGTGTGGTCTCACTTTGGCACTGACCTTGCCTACTGGAACTCACTCTGTAGACCAGGCTGGCCTCGAACTCAGAAATCTGCCTTCCTCTGCCTCCCAAGTGCTGGGATTAAAGGCATGCGCCACCACTGCCCGGCCTAACTGTGCTTTTCAACCCAGCTAGGCAAGCGTTGGACTTCCTTTCTCAGCAGCCCTTACAGTGTCCTTGACAAGATCCTCTTTTAGTCAGTGTCACAGAACACTGTGTTCTCTGTTCCTCAGTCTCCAGCAACCTATCAGCTCCCCTTGAAAGATTGGCGCCGCGTGGCCTTTTCATTTCTGTGACAGAGTTACCTGTTGAACAGTTGAATTGTATCGGCACAGAAGCGTTCTGAGCAATGCTGGGTACCTTAGGGAGCTTCCACTCATCTTCATCAGCAGTAAGGAAGATTGCATTCAATTAAATGCTCTAGGGAAACTTGTTGCATATATGGAAAGGGGAACACATAAGGAAAAGCAGGCACCATTTTCTTAATTTGTTTTTATGGGTATTTTACTACTTTTTAAGTGTGTGTGTGTATACGCATGACTGGGCATGATGGCACATGCCTTAAATTTCAGCATTTGGGAGGCAGAGGCAGGAGGATCTCCATGAGTTAAATGCTAGCCTGGTCCACATGGTGAGTTCTAGGTGAGCTTCGCTACACAGTGAGACCCTGTCTCGAATTCTTTTTTCTTTAGAATGCATGTTGTGTATGTGTGTGTTGCACAGTGTATGTGTGGAAGTTAGAGGACAAATTTGGATGTCATCCTTGACTTCTACCTCATTGTGAGATGGTCTCTTTGTGGGTACTTACTATGTAGGCCAGGGATGCCAGGATTGTCCTGTTTCTGCACCCCGTCTTACCTTAGTTGTGCTTTGATTGCGGACACGCGGTACTGTTTGTTCATCTGTGTAAGTGGGTTCTGGGATCAAGAATCGGGTCATTATGTCAGGTCCTCATATCACATGAGACGCACTTTACCCGCCGAGCCGTTTCCCGGTGTGTTGACTGTTTGGTTGACCACCAAGCTAGGCCCTTCACTTCCTATATTCTCTTAAGAGTTTTCATAACTTGTGTTCATAGGACAAGATAGATTTTTCTTAGAGTATGAGTAATATTTTGTCTCTCGTGAATAGTTGGCAATAAATTAAAAACTCAGTGATTTCCTTTTCTCTTTCAGACAATCTAATTTGACATGGGGATGATTCATTCATGTATGGTCAGAGGGAAGGACAATAAATTGTTTTATAGGAAACATTGTTTAACACGTATTTTTTTCTTCTTTTTTTTTTTTAGGCATCTTTTTTAACAAAGAAGTTAAATATTGGTGGGAAAAGAGTAAACCTTGCCATATGGGTAAGTATTCAGAAATCTTTGTTTGTTTTGAGACAGGATCTCATTCTGTAGCTCTGACTGTCCTGAACTCACTCTGTAAACCAGGCTGATCTTGAACTCAAAGATCCAATCTGTCTCTGCCCCACTAGTGCTGGGATTAAAAGCCACTATACCTGGCTTCAGAAATATTCTAATAGCTAACTAATTTGAGGAATAGGAATTTGGATTTCATATTTGTTTTTTTTTAAGTAAATAAATTAACTACCCAAAACCATTTCCTTAATTAAAAAGTTCCTAAAATCTAATTAAGAAATCTATTGGGGGGTGTAGAGAGATGGCTCAGTGGTTAAGAGCACTGACTATTCTTTTAGAGGTCCCAGCAACCACATGCTGGCTCACAGCCATCTGTAGTGGGATCCGATGCGCTCTTCTGGTGTGTCTGAAGACAGCCACAGTGTACTCATATACGTAAGATAAATAAATCTTAAAAAGAAACCTGTTTGGAGTACAACTTGACACCTAATGTTGCTGTCACGGTTTCTCAGTTGCAGAAGGGTCAGGGTTGGTGGGGCAGCCTTGCTTGCCCTCGCTTCCCTCCAAGCACCTGGAGTAGCTACTGGAGATCTAGAAGTGTTAGCGAGTACTCCTGATGCAGTCCTGTTCTACACTCCGAAGATTCTCTGTGTAGGGCAGGGAGTGTTCTAACCGTGGAGCACCTGCACTGGCCTGCTGGTGTGGCTAGGAGAGAGACTGCCGAGGAGCAGGAGCTGGCAGGAAGAAGAGTCGTGTGTGACAGTAAAGCATCATCACATGATGCTTAAATGCCTGGCTCTGTTGTACTTGCTTTGTTTCTTTTCATACTGTCTTTGGGTTCTCTGTTTAGCAGCCATGTGCTTTTTCCTTTTGACTTACTAAGCATTTGTTCTTTCTTAGGATACAGCAGGTCAAGAGAGATTCCATGCATTGGGTCCAATTTACTACCGAGATTCGAATGGGGCTATTTTAGTGTATGATGTAACAGATGAAGATTCTTTTCAGAAGGTATTCAGTTGTTCGTTTCCGTAGATGACTTAAGGACCAGGCTGATTGATTCATCGGTTGGTTGGTTGGTTGGTTGGTCCTCTCATTTATATGTCTGCATTCACCAATGACTAGTTTTAAACAGGAAAGCATGTAGTTTGAGCATAGACGGTGACCATTGTTTATCACAATAATTAGTTCATATTGGAGTATTAATGTTTTATTATGGCTTTCTCAAATATTAGGAAAAGGAAAATAATTGAAGATAAGTTTATGAAAAATGTAGAGAAATGTATTTTTTACTTTAAATAAAAACTACTTACGTTTGATTCTACACTTACTGGGAACCTAAAGGTTGCTGTGTCTCTGCGTGGGCTGCCACCTCATAAAGGGGAAAGTAAGAGCGTACTGAAGTCTAAGCCCACCCCCCACCATAAAGGGAAAGTAAGAGAATACTAATGTCTAAGCCCACCCCACCCCACCCCCAAATAAACACCCTGTAGGAATGAATTTTAAAAAGTGTTGATTTTTTAAAAAATTCTTCCTAATTTTTTTTTACCCCTCTTCAGATTTATACTGTACATGTAGAATATTTCTTCCCAAGACAGGATCTCACTATCTAGCCTTGGCTGGGCTGGAACTTGCTATGTAGACCAGGCTGGGCTCTCACAGAGAGCCCCTGCGTCTGCCTCCCAAGAACTGGGATTAGAGGAGCAAGCCCTTCGCCAAATGTAGGATTTTTAAACTTATTTGAAATCAAAAATAAGTCACCTGTGGACTTTTCCCACAGTCACGATGAGTTTCTGTGTGACCTTTTTTGGGTCAGTAGTGTATTGGCATGTGTGAGGGAATGGGTAATTTGTAAGTCAGAAGCTTTTCTTGTACTGAGTTACAAGGTAATGCTTATTGAAATGGCTCCTAATTTAGTTTTGTTTCTTTTTTTTTTTTTTCCAATTTACCTCTTCATCCCCCACCTGTCATCACCTGTCAATTTAATGACGCAAATACAAATATACACTTTCCTTATTAGATTATTAATGATGCAGGAAACAGCCCAGGGAACACAAATGAAACAAATGCTCGCTGACGTAAGGTTTGCTTGCTTTGTAGTTGTTTTGAGGCTGCTGCTTGGAGCTGCCTGTTACCATTTCTAGGCCTTTGGCATAAAGAATAGTGGCTTAAGCATTTCACTGATTAAGAGCAAGTTGAGTGTCTCATGTTGAAACGTGCCCAGTTCCTGGTACTGAACAGAGCCCCTAAAGCAGGCTGGCTAGGCACAGTAACCACTACATCTCACGGTTCTGTGGGATGGCCAGCAAGTCCTCTGCTCTTTGTCATGGGTGACAGTCACTCAGAGCTATACCAAAGGGGGATTTGATGGAGGCTGGAGTGCCCAACAGGCCTGCCTGGTTCTTCTTCATATGCCCTTTGTCCATATGTTCTTGCTTCCTTTTGTACTGTAGCCTAAGCTTTCTGTAGGACCATTAGATTCCTATAGAAGTAGAACCCACTGGGCCTGTCAGCCTCGAGTCTGGAATGGGTGTAGAGGTCCCTCTGTCACATATTCTTGATCAAACAAGTTATAGGGCCAGCCAAAATTTCACCTGGTGAAGGAAGGGAATACAGGCCCAGCTTTACCTCATCTGGAAATCCATGAGGACAAAGATTAGGCTATCCATGGAGAAAGATCTGATCTGTGATGTTAACAATCCTTAAGACACGGCTTGGTAGATGGTTATATTATCTGGGTGGGAGGAGTGTAGTTGTGGCGATGAAGATGTCCACTTACTCTCATATACGTCTCATGTGAGACCAACCTGTGCTTTATTATAGGATGATAGCGGTCATCTCTGCTTCTGTAAGGACTATAGAGACAGTTGCTTTGTGAGACTTGAGTGTGTTTAGAGTAAATTTCACTGTAAGAATTGAAGGTAGATGTCTGCTTCCTTCTTTATCATGCTGTTTGATTGTGATTTCATTATTGTACTATTAGTATTAGTATTAATTCCAGTGTGTGTCCAACTGTGTCCATACCCAAGCTGCTTCCTTAGTGGACAGTCATTGTTACTGTAATTGTCGTCTGCCAGAGGTTCTCACCAGGGTATGACAAAACTCTGGAGATATCTTCAGCTGACACCACAGGAAAATGATGCTGGGTTCATTTGGTAGAGGCCAGAGATTACACTAACCGGTCACATACAACATAGCCAACCTCACAACAAAGGGTTGTGCCAGCCACAGTATCAGTAGTGCCAGATACTAAGTAATGAAGTCTTATTTTGCCATGCACACTCTTTTTCTTCTAAAGGCTGTAACATAGAAATCTCTATTAGGAATCAATTAAGGCTTGATCAAAAAGACGATGGTCATACCCTCCTAAGTCCAAAGTGACTCTGTTACGGATGTCTTAATACCAGATACTAGACTTCAGAATGTTTTGTTCTGGCAAATAGCTTTGTTTGGATGTATGAAAAATGTATAAAACTATAACTAGAGGTATGCCTTTATACACTCTTAGGGTTTAGGTGTTGTGGAACTAATTCCACTAAGATCTGTTGTCATGTTTGCTCTGTTGTGTACACAGGTAAAAAACTGGGTCAAAGAATTACGGAAAATGTTGGGAAACGAAATCTGTTTATGTATAGTTGGTAAGTATTAGTACTGGTTTATTTTTAAAGTCCTTTGTTTCTTGTGGTTATATTTTGGGATCTTTCTGGGTGGCTCGTATGTAAGGGTTCAATCCCTAGAACCACTGTTTGATGAGACAAACAATTATAACTACAGCATCAAACTGTGTGAGATATAAATATATATAAAAGTCCACTACTATTTCAGCACTGAACATAGACTAGAAAATAAGAAAATTAAAGTGTGCTAGTTTAAGCAAAAGGAAAAAGAGAAAAATATAATGTCAGGGAAGAGAAAAGAGCAAGAGATTAGGAAAGGTAGAAACTGTGAAAAAGTTCCCAATAGTGAAAAGGTGTGACAACAAATGTAAATAACCCTAAGAAGGGATCAACAGTGAAGCCATCGGCGGGCACACGTCCTCACGACCGAAGTGCAACCTCTGGGACCTGTGTAAGTGCTGAGAGAACCAGCTCTGCAAAGCTACCCTCTGGCCTTCACACGTGTGCTGAAGCATGTCCATTTCCTTGCACACATGCATCGTGCATATATGATAGTAATTTTTTATTTAGGTAAAAGCATTTGTTTTTCTATAAGGCAAAATCCAATACCAAAATAAAACCTCCAGTAAGATGAAGTAAAAATACTGTTAGAAGTACAACAGTCCATGCGTGTATTGGAGCAGAAAGGGGTGGGCGATATTGCCAGTGACGATAATGTACAAACCAAATAGAGGACACGCGTCCAAGGGGGTAAACAGGAAAAGCTGTTAGAAATGCTGTGTATGATGTAATACAAGAGGAACGGAGAGATGGTGCAGTGGTTACGAGCGCTTGACATGTTGCAGGTTTGGTTCTCAGAACCCATGTCAGGCTCAAAACCACCTGTAACTCCAGTTCCAGAGGATCCAGTGCCCTCTGACCTCCACGGGCACCCACCACCTCCATACATAGTGCACATAAACTAATACAGGCATACATACATACACATAATAAATAATTAAATCTTTCCCAAAGATGTAATGAAAGAAAAGATAACCCCACCCCCAAATTGTTGAGCAGCTTCTGTCTTGGCTCTCAGAAGTTTTAGAACTGTGTTTATATAGGGGAGGGGCTTCAGCTGAGTTTGCAGGCTCTCTCGTCTTTTCTACTGTGTAGCTCACGTTGAGCCTGTAGTGGACAAGTATCTGGTGTTCACTGGTGCTAACAAAACTCAGCTCTGTGGTCTATGGTTGGTCAGGACCCTGGGCTCTCCAGCAGTTTCCGGGATGGCTGTCTCAGCTGAAGGGGTTATCTGTCCCCCAAGTACATTGAGATCACAGGCAGCAACTACAACACTGAGATCTGCCAAGTCTCAGGACCTGTGTGTCTGTTCAGTGTGACTTAATTACCACGGCTCTGCTGGAAGGATGCATCCGTGGGGGTTAAGGACCCAGCGGAGCTTCAGTTTCCAGACTCTACACCTGTAGTGAACAGATAGATGGCTGCAGAGGTTGGTTCCTTCTGCACCAGCTCATGCTCGGGTCTGCAGAACTGCCAGCTTAGTCTCAGGACATGAGTTCTGTTCTGGCAGCTGACAGTGAGGTTGCTCTTTCCGGTAAACTTCTCTTCCTGGACTGAGCCTCCTGTCTTGTGCACTTGTCAGCATCTGGTCCTTCTGCTCTCTGCATTGCCTTCAGGGCTCTCTGGCCACCGGGCTGCTGCCCATTAAACTGAGCCTCCCTGTCCTGTGGTTGTTCCCCATTCCTCAGTTCTCCAGGCAGCTCATCTTCAGACAGGTTCTCTCAAAATGCTGCCTGTCTTTTGCCCTGAGTCATGCATGTCCTGTGATAAATGGGGTACTTCTCCATGCTGTCCACCTTTCCAGAGGAATCACTGTCTCACATTTGAGGTGTTTGAGGGCTGAAGGCTCATCATGAGGTGCAGTGCTCGACTCCCAGGAATGCTGGATCCTAGGGGTTTTTGTCTTCAGTGTGCCCAGCAAGGTTTACATGTTTAACAGCCATGTCAACTCATTGCTTTTATATAAATTATAGTTAACAAAGCTTGATATCCTTTGTAGAAGTTTGGCCAGTCAAGTTTTCCTAAGTTCTAATATAATGAAATTATTTAAATACAATATATATATATATATATATATATATATATATATATATATATATATTTTGCCTGTGCGTGTGCGTGTGCGTGTGTGTGTGTGTGTGTGTATACACACAAGCACATACGAAGAAAGAGACAGAGAAACAAAAATGGTTGTTATGAGCTTTGCCTAGCCTGCAACTCCCAGAAATCTACCTGCCTCTGCCTTCCAAGTTCTTGGATTAAAGGCATGTGCCACCACATCTGGCTACATTTATTTTTATTATTTTTAGTTACATGTGTGTGGAGGGGTATGCACATGTGAGTGAAAGCCCTCACGAAAGCCTGAGGCCCCTTCCTCTTGGAGCTGGAGTTACAGTTAGGTGTCAGCTGACAACATGGGTAAAGAACTGAACTCTCGTCCTCTGGAAGGACAGTAAGCTCTCCCAACTACCGAGCCATCGCCCCAGCCCTGTAATGAAGCTTTGTAGGAGGCCTGGCACCAGGTGGTGCTTCTTGTATTTCTAGAGTAAAACAGCTTGCTCTCTCTCTGATTACTGTCCAGTATACTGGCTATAATATTTATTGGATTGGATTTTTGTAATGTAGACTGTGAAATTAATGTGGCTCTTGTAGCAGTGTGGACCTGTTCAGAGAGTTACGCTCTCTGCTGACATGGTCAGCTGACGTGGTCGGCGCACACTGACGTTAGTGTCTCCCACTGCCACTCATCCTTTCGCATTTGTTCCCATGCAGAGTTAAGGACTCAGATTACCTCAGGTCTTCAGTTCAGATCTCTTCACTTGGGCTTCCCGGTGATAAAGATTTCATCTCTCATTGGGTGCTGTGTTTATTCCGTTATAAAGTTTATTTTCCGTCTGAGAGTTAAAAGGGAAGAAAGGAAACCATTTGTTTCAAGTATGCTTCCTTAGGAGATGTCTCCCCATTCTTATCTGTGTGTTGTTTCTATGACCCTCACCCTTATCCAGCCAGCTCCGCTTCTGTCCAGGACCCTAAAATAAGACTGTTTTTGTTTCTGTATTGTTTTCTTTTTCAGTATCTTAATTTTGGTTCTACTTGGTTTTTTAGTAAAATCTTGGCTTAGATCCATTGTTTAAGGAAAACTAAACATACTCTCAGTAATTTTAAATCTACATGGTATGTATATATCACCTTGTAAAAGATCACTAAGATTGTTTTATAAATAATATACTTAAAGCCTCTCTATGGTGGAAGAGTACTTAAAAATTCATACATTAAAATTTTTACTTTAACTAGTTCATGTTATCAAATAAGAGTTTCATTTTAGAGCCCAAGATGCAAGCATAGTGTATTTTAATAAACCAGTAATTATATTTAATTATTGATTGTCTTTAAATTGATTGGGAAATAAAGAATTTTTGTTTTGTTTTTTAAAACCATGTATATATACTTTAATTAAAAAAAAAAAAACAACTATACTTTCTAGTGAATATTAGCCCCTGCTGTGGCTTCTGGTCTCTGTGGAAGAGAGAGTGTTTGCCTCTGACAGGCTGAAAGTTCACGTGATAGCTACACTAACTGTGTGCAGGAGGTGAGAGTTCACGTGGTCCTGTACTGACTGTGTGCAAGAGATGAGAGGTCACGTGGTATTACACTGACTGTGTGCAGGAGGTGAGATTGTAGACAGCTCTCACCTCTCTGTGATGAGACATTTGGAAGGCTGATGGAGAGTACTGTTATTTTTCAAATAATTAGTCACAATTATATATTTAGGATTGTCTAATTTTATTAAAACTAAATTAGTATTAACGATAGTGTTTCCTTTTTTCACATTAGGTAATAAAATAGACTTGGAAAAGGAGAGACACGTCTCCATTCAAGAAGCAGAATCGTAAGTGTCATGCTCCCCGATGGCAGTGCTCCCCAGTGGGAGTACCCTTACTGTGCACTTTGATGGCTCACGTACACACACCCTTAAGGAGGATTGAACACTTGTTCTCAGGGAGCATATTTGCACTTCAGAGTGCTGGGCAGCTGGCAAGAGTAAGGTATTTCTCTTGCAATTTCTCTTGATTTCACTAAAAATTAGAGACCATGTGGAGGAGAGCTGTCAAGACTAAATGTAAGGGATCACAAAGACTTCTAAGGTATTTGCGTTCCAAATTAGTGTATATAAATTTCAATCCTTTTAATGTTTTTTCTTTCTAAATTTGGTTCAATATATAGAGAAATTAAATAGCTAAATAACCTAGTGTGACTAAACCTGGGTAAGTTACTAAGTCAATAAAGTAAATGTAGTCACTACAATCGCTGTTGCAGAAAGCTCATGTGAATGACTCTTTGTTTCCTTTGTTAAGGTATGCAGAGTCTGTGGGAGCAAAGCATTATCATACTTCCGCCAAACAAAACAAAGGCATTGAGGAACTCTTCCTTGACCTTTGTAAAAGTACGTATACACACATTAGTATATTTAAAAATGGCTTTTTAAAAACTGTTATTAATGTTTCTAGCCAGGAATAGTGACACACACCTTTATGCCAGCAATCCGAAGGCTGAGGCAGGAGGACTTCTGAGTTTGAGGTTAGCCTGGTCTACATAGCGAGATCCAGACCCTGCCTCAGAAAAAAAGTATTGTTTTAAACTCTTGAGACTTTTGTCTTTCTTAAGCAATAACTAATGGTTTGGAAGTCACTTGTTTCATGTGTGCTAATGTATTTAAAATGTCTATGTGACTTTTTTAAAAAGCAAGGACAATTTGTGTATTAAAATACATTCAGGGGCCTGAGGAGATCGCTCAGTTGGTAAGGAAGGTGCTTTTCTGTAAGTACACTAGGTTGACCTGGTGGTCTGGAACTCAGAGATCTGCCTGCCTCTGCCTCCTGTATGCTGGGATCAAAGGCTACACTACCGCCTGGCAGATTTTTTTGCTTTCTTTTTTTTTTTTTTTGGTTTTTTGAGACAGCGTTTCTCTGTATAGCCTTGGCTGTCCTGGAACTCACTCTGTAGACCAGGCTGGCCTCAAACTCAGAAATCTACCTGCCTCTGCCTCCCAAGTGCTGGGATTGAAGGCGTGCGCCACCACTGCCCGGTGATTTTTTTGTTTTCATTTTTTATATATTTATTTATTAATGAAGTTGTGACTTCATTAATTAAGAAATTAATTAAGAAATCTTGTCTGGCTGTGGTGGCACACGCCTTTAATCCCACCATTTAGAAGGCAAAGGCAGATAGAGCTGTGAGTTTCAGGCTAGCCTGGTCTACAAAATGAACTCCAGGACAGCCAGCAGTACACAGAGAAGCCCTATCTAGAAAAGCCAAAGAGAGAGAAGAGACAGAGAAAGACACACAGAGAAAAATCTTTAAGCCAAAAATCACAAAATTCCCTCCCCATCTTCCTCCCTCCCACTTGTATGAGATAGAATCTCACTTAGCCCAGGTTAGCCTTGAACTCTATATGTAGCAGAGGCTGTCTTTGAACTCAATCCTACTGCCTCTACCTCCTAAGTAATGGGATTGCAGGCACCTGCTATCCAGCTGCTCACTGTCATGTTCATGTGGGCTTGATGTCCTGTTGTGTCACTTTGTTTGGTTTTCTGGCCAGCATGGGACTCACAGAAATCCTCCAGCCTTTGGCTCCTCAGTGCTTGGACCACTGTACCCGACTCATGTAGTTTGATACTATGCACCACACACACCGATATTTCTCTCTCTTTTACATGCATACATAAAAGTTTCCACCTTGTTTTTTAAAGATTTATTATTGTGTATGTGTCTGTGTGAGTTTGTGTGTGCACAAGGAAGCCAAAGGAGGCCAATGGCTGACCTTTCCTTCCCTTTCTTCTGAGTCCATGAGGCTACACAAGCAAGCTAAGCCATCCTCCTGTCTCCATCCTCTTTGAAGCCAAGGAGGCCTCTGCTGGGATACTGTCTCTTCAAATGGTGTTCAAACTCAAGTCCTGCACTGTAACTGCTGTACCATTTCTCCACCCCTTAAAGTTTTTAATCTTTCAGATACTATCGGCTTTATCATATAATACACATATTACATTAATTACAGGTGTTTGCCTGTGTGTCTGTATAGGGATGTGCATATGAATGTACGTGTTGGAGGAAGCCAGGGCGGTTGGTAGCTTCCCGATGTGGGCGCTGGTTCTGCTGTAGGAGCAGTGTACACTGGTAACCACTGAGTCATCTCTCCAGCCCCTCAAACACTGGTTTTTCCTATGTATGTATGTGAGTATACTGTCGCTGTCTTCAGACACACCAGAAGAGAGCATCAGATCCCATTGCAGATGCTTATGAGCCACTATGTGGTTGCTGGGAATTGAACTTAGGACCTCTGGAAGAATAGTCAGTGGTTTTAACTGCTGAACCATCTCTCTAGCCCCCAAATATCATTTTCTTAAATAAGTCCTGTACCCTAAATTTAATCTCCTGGCATTAGAAACAAGTTGAACTTTACCTATTTTTGATAGTTTTGGAAACTCTCGAGGATTATACTGGTGTACACGAGTGTTTATTCAAACATAAAAGTAGCTCTTCTCCTCTGTTACTCTCTTTGTGGCTATCATAGCACTCAGTGTCCTACTGTGTACATTCTAGATTTAAAGCTGTCTTCTTGAGTTGTCATAGCATTCAGTGTGTGCCATTGAGACTGTTGATGTGAAGTCAGCTCTACCAGCTGGCTTGAAATTGGAGAGAGAGAGACCCCAGGGTGTGGTCCGCTCAACTTTGCTCTCTGTTTCAGGAATGATAGAAACAGCCCAGGTGGATGAGAGGGCAAAAGGCAATGGCTCGAGTCAGGCCGGGGCTGCGAGACGAGGCGTACAGATCATCGACGACGAGCCTCAAGCTCAGAGCGGCAGCGGAGGGTGCTGTTCCTCCGGATAACTGCTCACGCCTGGGAAACTCAAAACAAAACAGAACTGTGGATCATTGCCCTCAACATGAAGACTGCCATATTCCAAGTCACATCATTTTACCAATGGAGTTAGAGAATTAACAGTATTTTCAATTACGTTTATAACACTGCAGAGACCTTAAGTGCTAAACTTAGTGGAGTTTGTGACCAGAGAATTGGCATTTTCTACAAATGTTAACAAAGCAATTACCAATGGCCTTTTTACATATTTTTTTTCTTTAATGAGGAATAATATGCATGTAGAAAAGACCTACTTAAAGGCTTCATTTATATTCTTTTAAATCAGATCTTTATTTAATAACTTATATATGATGTTGGAATGGTATACATTTTTGCAGTCCTTTGTATTTTGTGGTAGTTTGAATTGAATCACTTCTAAACAGCATACTGTTTTTGTTTTTGTTTTTTGATTAGCAGATACGTGAAGTTCTATTTTTGCAGGGTTTGCACAGGCCCCTAACTGTCTACTACTACTTTGATATAATCTATAAACATCCTGTATGCTGAGCTGGTAAAATACATTGTAAATTACATATTAAATATTTTATCTGCTTTTACAAGCGCAAGGTGCAAAAATATGTACAATTGTCTTATTGAGGACTGTAAGGTGAATTAACCGTTAGTGATAACACCTAAGCTTTCGACTTTGTTATAACGTTCATCGTCCGCCCTTCACTTGTCTTCACAGGAAAGCGTGCACTTCAATATACACATACTTTACCTGACTTACTGCTGTTGTCACTTTCCCCTTCCCTTTTTCTGTTTCTTTGTCTTTTCTTTTTTTCTTTTCCTTTTTTTTTTTTTTTTGCCTCTGTATGTCCCAGTAATCCAAAAGCAGCCTTTGCCTTTTTATTATTATTAAACAAGATTCCTTCTGCCAATGTTGTTTTAGAATGGTTACCTTAGAAGAATCTGAGTGATGCTTGCCAAGTTTCATTTCTGCATCAACTCCAGTCTTCTGTCAGACTTTGCAGGAGATGGGCTCCCTGGCCTGACAAGAGGGCTCCCGTTGTAGCCTCTGACCAAGGCTTATTCATTCATGCAGGACGTGAGTGGTACTGTATGCTCTGGAGGCGGCATTCCTGGGTCCCTTGTGAGGACATTTTATTGGTTATTGCTTGTCAGAAATGAATATAGAAAGCTGTATTTCATTTTATAAGAGTTTTCTTGAGTCTCTATGGGAAGAAGCATTTTGTAACACTGTTACAGCAAACACTGGAAAGATTTTATTATAAAATCATAATCTTGTTTATTTTGCAGTTAGTCCCACATTAGATTTTTTTTTCTTTAGCATTGGACTGAAATTTGTTCATGTAGGAAACAATCAGGCACTGCTCACAGAAAAGAAAAAAAAAACATTGTGGAAACTAACATAAATTGTTCTTGTTCAAATATATACATATTTTCCCATTTCTGTCATGCTTGGAAAACTAGTAAATGCGTGTAAGATAAGATGGAATGGTCCCTGGATTTCCTTCTTGTAGGAAGTAGAATACAGTACTGCAGTTCGTAAGCGTCTCTGAAGGTACAAGGAGGTGATGAGCACTGAGCGAATGCTACCGGAGTCGTAGGAGTAGCTTAAACCTTCTCAAATAGGTTGAAAGGTGAACGGCTTCCCCCTTACTGTCTAAACTCTAGGAACTGAACTTAGCTTTGTGTTCTCTGAGTGTTCTCTGAGCCCTCCCTTTAGATTTGCATACTTACTTACTGACCTTGCCAAATTAAAAATGCTGACCTCTTTGCTGTGTGCCTAATGACGGTTAGAGTAGAAAAGAGTCAGGAGAATGAGCCACAGTTGTGTGCCATTACGAGATGACTGTACTGTGCCACCCTCGGTTCCTTGTGGCGTTGGTGTCCACGCATGGGCTTAAAGGGCAGCAGGAAGCATGGGTCACTGGAAAATGTGTTCCTACCCTCCAGCCTTTTCAAGAGTAAAGACTGCTGTCAATAGTCCTGTTGGAGATAGGAAATACAGTCTCCTCACTGGAATAGAATACTGCTTTCTAAACTAGAGATGAAATTAAAATACATTAAACTTGACCATTGGAGGGCTGGACTGGAGTTTTTCACGTGCAGTTGTATCAGTTTCACATAGGCACCTCTGCTGTGCAGTCGCGGGTAATCGTTGCTGGGGTAGAAACCGTCCTCCATGTTGTCCTTTACCCCAACACACCCCCTCCCCCTCTCACTCTGTGATCCTTGCTGATTCAATAACAGAGATAAGCGATACGGCGTACCTGCTGTGCTATGGAGCATGGGAGATTTTAAGTCAAATGAGGCAAAAGGAAACTGGCCAGGACCGGCTGCCGAGGGCATGTATGAGGGAAGACACAGCGATGGCAGACTGAGTGATGGTAGGGTTTTCCTGGTACTGTCTTCCTTCTGTTACGTCTCTGCATTCTTAACAGCTGTGCTCCCAGGAAAAGGCACAAAACATGCTGAGGGTGGGAGTGGGGGAACCTCTCCACAAGTATACCTACCTGTCCTATCTCTTAAAGCTGGTCCAAGACACCCATTGCGATCATTGTTAAAGTAATCAGTCACTGTTTCTGTAATCGGTATCCTGCTGCTTGGTTTGCTCTATGATTATGGAAGAAGAAGAATGCTTTTTAAAATGTATTCAGCAACCATTTGGGGGTAAACTAATCTGAAAAGAAAAGAGTACCATGTTCTATGAAATACATGCCTGTTGTGTTTGTAGTGTCTCCTAAGAATACCCTAAAATCATGATTGTTACTGTATCGTTATCTTTTTTTTTTACATATTAGCTCTATAAATTATTGCTTTTCTTTTTTTTAGTTTAATTTTATTTTTCTTGGTGTTAGAGAACAATAATGTTTCTTCCCCCTCCCTCCCTCTTTCTTTTTCTCTCTCTCCCCTTCCCTCCATCCCTTCCCCTCCTCCCTTCCTCCCTACTCTCTCTACTTTAGTTTCCAGTAATGCAAGATAAAGTTGAGGAAATAGAACTCTATACCCCAACAATGTTTATAATCATGTTGACAAATACATTGCAATCATTGAAGTTTCTAGATAAGGCAAGATACACATTATGTGCCAAATAATTAGAGCGTTTAAAAAAGTAGATTGTGATACCATTTCTTTTAGTATATAGTTTATCATTTTCTGTTTTATAAATGCTGTCAGGCTTCTACACCATGAGTCTTCAGTATTTACTTGTAGATGATGTGCGTGGCATTTGCAAAGGTAAATTATGTTATTGACTACTTGAAACTACTTGCAGTTTGCTTTGTTCCTTTTCTTTTGACTTCTTTGTGACCATTCTGAATCTAGAGACTGTCTAGGAAAGGCTGTAGATAGTAGTGAGCAATAGGAAGATGGAAAAGAGACTCAGAAGAGTCCAAAGGGACTGCCTGAGTAGATCTTTACATACTTTCCTAAGTTACAAAATGCATTGCCTGGGTTTCCATAATTAAAGCGCTAATTCACTGAGTTGCATGTACTTGGTTTCAGCATATGCTACAATGTTGCTATTGTTCATTAACACCTGTAACAGAGTGATGCATTTGGTGTATGGACCACCCATGCTACATTTATGTCTTGGATTGGATGGCCTTTCTCTCTCTCTCTCTCTCTCTTTTTTTTTTTTTTTTTTTTTTTGGTTTTTCGAGACAGGGTTTCTCTGTGTAGCTCTGGCTGTCCTGGAACTCACTCTGTAGAACAGGCTGGCCTCAAACTCAGAAATCCACCTGCCTCTGCCTCCCAAGTGCTGGGATTAAAGGCGTGCACCACCACTACCTGGCGGCCTTTCTCTTTTTTAAGAAAGCCAGTGAATTACAAATTTGAGCATAATTTTTCTGATTGCATTTTAGCATTATAATAGTGAAGTAAAAAAAAAAAGTTGCCCTAAACTTTCTGTGTCACTGAGGGTGATCTTGGGTTCCTCCGGATCTTCCTGCCTGGACCTCTTGAACGCTATGCACCACATACGCAGTTTGTGTGCCACTGAGGAGGAATCAGACCTGGAGTTCTGTGTATGCTCGACCAGTGCTTCAGCTGAGCATCTGTAACCCCCAACTTATGAATTCTTTCAAGCGGTCCCTGTTTCAAGCAGAAATGCGTGTCTTCTAAACTGGTACTTTTGACTTTGATAGACCCTGAACATCGCTTTCCTTAGGCAGGATGTGTGTACCATCTTTGTGGAAAAGCCCTGTGATCCAGCTCTACAGCTGTTTGTTTGTTTGTTTTTGTTTTTTTTTTCAGTATTCTTGCATTTATCTGCTTGTTTTGTGTATATTTTTTGTGGACACCAGTGCGCCAAAGCACATGTGTAGGAATCAGTCCTCTCCTTCCACGATGGGGTCTGGAGAACAAACCCATGCAGTCAGGCCTACTCTGAGCCGTCTTGCCACATACCTCGTTCTCGTTCTCTTTTGAAGTTTGTTTTCAAATGCGAACGAGTGGTTTGCCTGCATGTATGTCCCTGTACCGCATGCATGCCTGGTGCCTATGCAGGTCAAAAGAGGGTGTCAGCTCTGGAACTGGAGTTACAGATGGTAACCAGTGGTGGGAATTGTGTGGGTGCTGGGAATCAGACCCGGGTCCTTACCTAGAACAGCCAACCTGGCTGTGTGATACCCTTCCTCGGCCCTCCATTCCCTGAAGGCTACATGATGGAGGTAGGCTTTAAACGGCCGTTGTTTCCAGTGTACCAGTTCTTTTAATTTTGATATTTCTGGCTCTCCATCAAGCCCAAGTGCTTGCTTTACTTCCGTTTCAACAGGGGAAGACCAATGAATGGTGAGGAGCAAGATAAAAACTCCAAAGTTGTTTTATAATATATACGAATATATACTAGAAATGTAAGAATTCCTGGTCTTATATTTAGTTTTGTAAATGGTAGGATTTAAGTGACAAAAATAACCAGAGCTAATGTCGAAGAACCGCTGATACCCACTCCCAAGTGGTAACTGCTGCTGGTTAGTATACACCCGGATGCTATTTAGCTATGTGTTTAAATGCATATTTATTTACTATACATATATTTTGCAATTTGGTTTTTTTTCTCTTACCAGTATGCCTTCAGTAATCTTCAGTAAATGATGTTTTCATTTTTTAAAACTTATTTTATGTGTATGAGTATTTTGCCTGCACATGGGTCTGCACCACGTTCATACCGGCATGCCTTCAGATGCCAGATGCTTCAAATCCCCTGGGACTGGAGTTGCAGGTGCTTATGAACCACTATGTGGTGCTGGGAACTAAACCCCAGACCCTTGGACGTGCGTCCCTTTAACCACTGAGCCATCTCTCCAACTCTCGCTTTCTCTCATTTTCTCCCACACCTCTTTGGATGCTTGTTTATATATTTTTTCAATAGCTTCTGACTCTCAGAAACCCTCCTCAAAAGAATCCCATTAGCATATGATTTGAATGGAAGTGGCTACTCAGAGTGTTTCCTTTAAGCGTGTGAATCAGGAAACTAGAAACTGCTTACAACTTAGTTGCAGTTCATGATTTTGGGCCTTGGAATATGGTTTTATTTGAAGGGGAAAAGGAAAAGTATAGTTGATGGGGGAAGAGTAGAAGGTAAGCGAAGACAAGTGTATGACTTAGCGCTCCTGAAGTAGAGCTTCACGCTACCCCCATTTCTACTTCTGTTTGACCCGTGCCTTTAATACAAAGTAAAAGGCAAAAGCCATCTCTTAAGATTTCCTTTCCATCTTCTTACCTCTAAGAAGTAATAGATGGTTTGGTTGGCTTGTCTCACATTTCTATCTTCTATACTTAACTTTTATAACGTTGATTTCCTGAGTGTGGCTTCTACCCGATGTCCAATCCCACCCTTACCCGACCAGCTTCCTGAAAGCCAACGGGAGCTGTGCTTTCGGAAAAAAGTTACCAGTGGCACCTCAGGAATTCAAAGTTTACTTACCCGATTCTCAGGATGTTTCATGTAAGTCAAGTTTTAAAAGTATTCTGGAAAAACAAAGTCAGAGTTGGTGTCATTCCCTGTGGAAACAGTTGGGTAAGGAGAGTGTGTCTGTGAACTATGCACCTGTGTCAGTTCAGTCTGGGTTACACTTGCTTTTCCTTCTGAGGGAGCACGGTGGTTGACAAGGCTATGGGTCACATGGGTCACATGAGCATTAGACACAATGTGTGTGCTCAAGAAAAAGCAAATGTATTGTTTAGTGGAAACTCCGAGAGCAGGTGCGTGACAATGGCTATTCCTTGTATCCTGCTAAAGATGTTTAAAGATCCAACTAACCTGACTCCTGCCCCTTTCACTTAAATGCCTGCCCTGTGTGTAGTGTACATACAAGAAGGGACTCGGCCAAATTCATTTCCTTTCTCCTTGTTTTAGACGGAATTTAAAACCATTATTCATGGTCTGAGATAGACGTCTGTGGATATGAGGTCATCCATGGACCTGTACTGACATTCTATGAGATGAAAATGTACCAACCTTTTGGGGACGGTAATAAATAGAATAATAGTAAAACTGATCACAAATTCGAGGTAAAGATAGACAGATTTTTTTTCTGTTTGATTATGGTCTCAGTGTCCTCTGCCTGAGTGCTGGGATCATAGGTATTCACCCCAACATTCAGTTCCGGGAAAAGTGTTGGCTTTTGAAGCCCTGCAGACAATACTCTTTGAGACATTAGAATAAAGTCATTTTCTAGATTCAAGAGGGTAGTCATCCTCGGTTCCAATGGCTTTCCCAAATTTTGTGGCTACAGTAAGGAAACAACTATCTTGCTTGTTTAAATATCAGTTTCATCTTAATTTTGTGGGTTCTTTTTAAACCTAGAAGAAACACAACTTTAAAAAATCCAGCCAGGCTGGGCGGTGGTGGCGCACGCCTTTAATCCCAGCACTTGGGAGGCAGAGGCAGGCAGATTTCTGAGTTCGAGGCCAGCCTGGTCTACAGAGTGAGTACCAGGACAGCCAAGGCTACACAGAGAAACCCTGTCTCGGAAAAACCAAAAAAAAAAAAAAAAAAAAAATTCCAGCCAGGTACAGCAGTACACTAATCATAGCAGGAAGGTGGAAGACTGCTCTGAGTCCAAGACCAGCCTGTCTC